TGTATTCCAGCATTACATGCTGAACTGATAAAAATTCTTACTAGTTACACTGCCAGGTTTTAAAAGATTAGGACAATGAGACTACCCCCTTGTCACCATTTTTGACTTTATACACCATTTCACAACTAGGAAGCCTTAGAGGATGTTAATCTGCTGGATATCCAAGAGTGGGAGAGGAAATCAAATGCTGCCAAGTTGTGGCTGTAATTCTGCCTTTGCAGAGATAGAAATCCCTCACTGCCTGCTGACTGAACAAAACCAAAGCAGCAGAGAGGGCACCAGCACAACGCACCCTGCCTTGCTGATTTCTCCCATATGCAAAACTCTCAAGTGTCACAGACCAAAACAAGGGGGAAAGTTTACACAAATTCTTAACAGCCCTCAGAATGGGCCTGAGCCATGAGATCATATTGGAACCAGGAGGGATAAGATCAGCAAGGAACTTCTTCCCTTATTCAGCCATTAGAATCTATAGCACAGGCCACAGACAACGTCGGAATGTTACTAAGTGTAACTTCCCATCAGCATTCTGGTGGGATGTTACAAAGATAGCTGCACTTTCTGAAACAGACATTTCTATAAAGTCTGTAATTTCATCCTTGAGTTCTTTTATTTAATTTTTTTCTAATGGGACTTCATCTTGGACCACAGGTGCAGTAAAGAGCAGGGGAACAAGACGGCTTCTGCGCTCAACTGAAGTTAAAGAGAAACTGTTGCAAGGAACATAATCTATGAAAAATAAATTCATGTTTATAATGCAAAAATCCCTCACAGTTAATGTTGCCATTTCACTTTTCCCCAGTATAATGAGAGGGTGAATGCCTCTTACCTGGCTGTAGGTCCAGCTCCATCAATGTTTTCTCTCAAGGCTGTTCAGCCTTCAACAGAGCGCAGAGCAATTCCTAATTCCTCTGGGTGCACAGCCTGCACAGCACTGTCTTCTGTATCAGAAGTTCTTCTATGCTGCACAAGGAGCTCGTCCAGAGCTGTCACACAGAGGACTGTGCATATATATGTAAGGCTTTGGTGAGCACCAAGCCAGGACCAGAGCTGCTCATCTTGCAGTGATCATAATTAACGGGTCTTTAGAGTGCTTTCTGCCTGGGAAAACTCTTCTCTTGGTGGCCATCTCCACAGCTTCTGCATGATGTTTGCACACCAGAATGAACTGTGCTTTTCCAAAAAATTCTGCTGTGGTCACATCTGAGCTTAACTAACATGCTCCACTGCTCACCTAATAAAACCCTGTGAGCAGTCTCTTCGAAGAGTTTTTGAATGGAGACACGAAGGAAGCAGAGCACAAAAGAAACACAGAACGAAGGGTAAAACCCCCATGTGAATGAAAGTCAGACAAGATATCATCATATGAGGTGGGGAAAGGAGAGAGAAGTTAGAGCACACATGCCTAGGGACCTGCAGGATGATATAACAGCAATCAAAATCCCAGCTTAACTGCCCAGGCATGAAATAACGTCCTAACTGCGGAGTAAATACATCAAAGTCCAAAACAAAGAGAAAGGGCTTTGCCACACATCCCAACCAGGGAAGCAAATCCCATCAAAGCACAGATGACATAAGGCTGCTCTGAGAAGACTGTAACTGAGTTTGGTCTGATAATAAGACAAGAAACAAGGATAAGCCCAAAGGTAGGTGCACTGATACACACCCATGTGCTCTCTGCAGCTCACTAAGCTGTTTAGTTCATAATTAAGCTCATCACGCCCTTAACATCCCTCTTTTCCCCACAGCTCATAAATATTCACCCTGCCTCTGAGTATTTCACAGAAATTTTTAATATAGTAAAACATTTTTGTCAGATGTGCAGTATTTTAATAAACAATCAAAATCAAGCCAAACCTACTAAAACACAGTAATAAATTAATTTTTTTAAGCCCTGATGTTGCTTTACCTTTTTATGGCTAGTTTCTCATCAATTCAAAACAAATTTGGATAACGAGTATGTGATGCACCCATGTAAATCTGAAGTTTTGTTGTCAGTGAGCATGTAACAGACCAGCTCTAGGCAACGGAGGATGCACATAAAACATACATCAGGTGCACATGTGTGGAAACACAATTAAAAAGCCACATATTCCTGGTTTTCAAATGAGAACAACAGCTCCTTTACAGTCAAAAGCACATTTCCACTTCAGATAACGGGCATTTTGCCACTAGCTTTGAAAGAACCAGGACCCTGCTCCACAGTTTAATCAAGATCTTCTTGAATTCAGTGGAAAAGTCTCACAAGAAAACAGTGGCCTGGTGCATCACTTTGCAGAGCTGCGCTGTTGTTTCAAGCAGCTCTTGAAATGAACATTTTGGCAAAAGTTGCTGATAACTAGCTCTGCTGCTCTGAGTACTGATGCAGTTACAGCTTCCCTTTTACTGCACTTTTCAGTATAATTTTACACCAGAGACTGTGTGTGTGTGTGTGTGTGTGTGTGTGTGCATGAGAGAGCTGCTAAACCTTTTTTAAGCACAGTACATGAAAAGTTGTTCTCTAAAATAAGACTTGAACAAAACTATTTCAGACACCAGTGCAAAAGGATACTTGTTTACCTTAACTTCAGCATGACTTCTTATGCAATTAATCATTCATATGGAATATCCGACACAGAGAGAATACGCTACACACTGCCTTTATAAATAAGGGTTTATGTCAGACATAAGGATCTTCACAGCTGCCAAGCAGCAAGTGCAACACAAGTCACGTGGACTGCACAGCAATAGAGCAGATTAACACAAATATATCTTCAGAGAAGAAGGAAAAATTTAAGTCATCCATTGTAAATGAGGAATTAAGCCCTGCTAGTACATCCTTCCCCCACCTGAACACCTCCTACATCTTGGCAAATGGTCAACCACAAAATTAAATGAAACAAGGATCCTGTCTTCAGTGTAGAAAGCACTGAGGAAAATAAACGCCAACACCACCACTGCAGCACAGAAAATGAAATATCCTCACCTAGCTTCCCATTATTCCAGAGAAAGAATCCAAATGAAGGCATATATCACTTACTTTACTGAACTATGTATCTGCATCAACAAACTGGAAGTGATAGCAATGGTATGCTCCAACTTGCTGACTTCTCCACACTTGACAAACGAAACCAGACAAGGGCAACAGCATGATGCCAAGAGTGAGCTCAGTAAAATGCAAAGAGAGAACAATTTATTCATTCATCACAATCCTGTCTGCAATTGCAGAATGTGTGCATCCTTCTGTGAGTTCCTTTTTTTTCCCAGTGTCAGCAATAGCTTGCCATGCTCGTCACGAGGCTTGAATGAGGCACCTCGACCCATCCCTGAGCAAGGGCGATGGTATACACCTGACCATGCTCCAGTGCACAACGCAGAAACCAAAAAGCTTCTAAATCTTTTGACAGCAGAGACAGTGTATACCTGGTCAAGCCATAGTACAAGGACTGCAAAAGCAGATAAGTCTACAACCCCTGTGCAGCACATCCATGGGAAGCTGTGCGCATCTCTTCACTCCTAAGACATATCCATAACAGGACATTCTGGCTGACAGAGGTAAATGGGACATGGGGAATGGACAGGAGAGACCATGACCATGCTGTACATTGGCACGGTGCAAGAAAAAGCACTTTTCCCTCAGTTTTTCTCTCTCACTCTACTTTGATTACTGAAATGGCCCTTTTCCAGCTCTAAAACCTATCCTTTCAGTGCCTGTCATGTTAGCATGCTGATGGTATAATGAGGATTTACAGCAGTTCTGTACAAGAATTCTCTGCTGTGGGTGAAAAAGTTAGAAGAAATGTGCAAAGTTAATCCTCTTCCAATTACTCCAGAAATCTGCATGCTAATGCAATATCATAATAATTAGGATTGCAACGTAATTAAACTGTGTAAATGTCTGCAACAGGGAGCAAAATTTGCACGCTTGGAACATGCTTTGACTGAAAGAATTTGAGTAGCCCCACTGAAGAGCTGTACTGCTGATGTTCTGTCAGTACTAAAAACGTCAGTGTAGACAAAGTCTTTGTCCTTTCTACCCACATGGCAAGGCCCTCATGACATCACTTAGCCTATTTCCTGCAAGGCAGGACTGACACTACTTACGTCACTCTTGGCAGATCGTAGTTTAATCTGTTCTTAACGTCAGCAGAGTTCTGAATTCTAGCCTTGTCCCTCCATGTTTTAGCAGCCCTTCCCATCTTCATGCCATCTAAAAATTCAACACTCATACTCTATTCCACCACTGAGGTCATTAATAACAATAATGATGAAAACCAGTGTGTATTTCCCACACTTCAATATGCCTTTCCATTAGAAGGATGGACCACTGATAACTGCTATTTGGTATGGCAATCCAATCAGTTCTGCAGAGACTCCATAGGGGTTTCACTGAAGACAAGTTTCCCTTGACATGTTTGTGAAACTGTCATACACATTAATATTGAAAACATTACAAGAAGTCAAGTTGTTTGGCCTCTTTTGTGCCTTCCCCAGCTACAAGACTTGCTACTCAGTTGTAGAAAAACATTTTAAAGTTTTTAAAAGTCACATTGGCTGTTACTGAACTCCTTGGTCTTCTTCAGGTGCTTACACATAATTTGTTTGTTCCAGTTTTTCAAAGAACAAAATAATTTATCTGTAATTCTCTTTTACCTCTTTATAGACATTATGCTTTTTCCTTCCCACTCTCCCAGCACTTGAACTGTCTTCCCTGAGTTCACAGAAGTTAACTACAAACGCTTCTGAGATTGCTTTAGCCAATTCCTTAAGTAACCTAGAATAACCAGGCACAGCTGATTTAAAAATATTAAATATGTCTGAATACATTCTAACCCATTCTTGCCCTTTTTTAGCTTGTGATTTTACCCTCTGTCATAATAGCATAAGTGTGTGTGAGGGTGCTTCTAGTATGACTCAAAAGCATCAGTGAGAGTAGGTCTGATCCCTGAGTTAAAATTTAATATAATTTCTTGTCCTCAGGTCAAGCTATAGACTCCTTTAAATCATAAAGCATCTCATACCTTCGCTCATTGTCATCAAGATGAGCAAAGAGCACGTTCTTGGAGATGGCCTTTGCCAGAGCAGTCATAGTCTTATAGTCCTTTGGAATAACCTGTAGAGAAAAGCATGAAGGGTAATTACATGCCTGGTTGTATTTCTTCATAGAACTTGAAATCTACAGAAAATTCCACTATTCAAGATAATGGATGCAATTTGATTTCAAACACTGAGACAGGTTTAGGCTATAATATAAAGCCACTAGGAAAGTAATAAATTACAGTTTTGATAGTGTGAGGATAAGAATTTATGTTCTCAACATGACAACCAGAAAAGAAATATAAGATCCGGGATGAGTGGGGAGAAGGATATCCGTAAAATACTATAATTAGCAGGTACTGGCAGCTGTGTATTCTCCTTTCAAATCTCTTGGACCGAGGAAAACATATTTCATATTCCTCTTCTCCCACAAACAAATTAAGAAGCAATCTACTTTTAAAACTAGGGAATGAGCAACATTTCTTTAGGTGAAAGGTTAAACATGTTGATTACACCATACTTCTCAGTACTGGTTGTGGTATAAGGGACCCAGCTCCTGAGAGGTCCACCTGGGTCAAAATCCTGTGCCTTTGCTTCATGGCAAACGAGAAGGACTTGCATTTGAGAATGAAGAGGCATTTTTATTTGTTAATTAGGGAGATGGCAAAAGGCCTTTTGTACATGAATTTGCTCTAAATATATGCTGAAATTCAGGAGTATATTTTCATATTGGGTGAAGTTTTTCTGACTTTCGCAAGTTAGGCTTTCCATTTTGGTAAGATCTTAGTAAAGACACTGTATCTCTGTATTTGCCAAGCATCATCTTCTGTCAGTCAGAGACTGTGATCACAAGACACACAAGAAATTTGTAACAAGGTTATGACTTGTAAAAGATGTTCTATGACTTCAGTAATGTGATTTTTCCTTAACAGTTTAAATATAATGGGACAGAATCAAGCCTAGCAAAAGTTTTAAGTGTGAAATAAACCTTACTCCAATCTGAAGATCAACATCTGTTTGCCTGTTTTAATTACTGTACAAAAAAGTTCTGATAATGGACATTTATTTTTCACATTTTCTTATGATAGAAATAGTATAACTGTCTTATTTAAGTTGCTACATATGCTGATGTGTAGGTAGTTTCCTTTCCTCATCCTGGAAAAGCAAGATACCACCCATCCAACCAGAAGAAGGATGTCTCAAAAGGGAAAACTGATCTAGAACCAGTTCTCACAAAGAACTGATCTAGATTCATTTCACAGGAAAATTCTGCACTGTAAAGTTCTAAAGTTAAAACTCTGGCTTCAGACATCACTTATATGGACTGCTGTAGTCATTAGACTACTCAAATTAACTCTAGAGGAGTGTATTATGTATAAACTGCATATCTGTGTCAGAGTGAAACATAATCTAATTTATCTAAGAGTTTGAATTCCTGAATGTTAAATAAAATGAGCATTTGGCCAGTATCTTATTCTTGTTTTTTACCTTATCAAACAAACTCTGGATTGAATTGCAGTCCTGAACCCTTGCTCTATTAAGAATACCCCAGCTGTTCAGCTTACTGCTGATGAGTCAAAAGGGTAGATAATCGAATCACTAAGACATTCAACTCCAAACTTTCTGGCTGATTATGGAATAGCGTAGACAAGCCTTGCTCATTCTAAATCTGCAGCAATGAAAGCAACAAGGCAGAGACCAAAGTGGATCTGTTGGGGCTGGGAAACAGAAAACACAGGAGAGATTCTTTAGGTGTCACAGTGACCAGGCATCTGACCAATAACAAACATCAGGAAGAATCACTTGACCAATTCTTACATCACTCTTCCAAATAATCATTGAACACTATCTTCAAGCCAATAACCCTCTTCACAGCAAGATTCCTATTCTGTTAGTTGTGAACTATATGTTATGTCAGATGTGTTGACAAATATTGTTTTCTCTAGTTGCAAGAATGAAGCAATGAAATAACCCTTTGCAGAGATCTTCCTTTGTGCTCCTCAAAATGGAGCTATGCCATGTGCTTGCTCAAATCACAAAGCTAAATCTTCTTTGATTTTCTCTCCAGCGTCGTAACTCATTGTACTGCCTTTAGCACTACTCATCCTATAGCTCATCCCTTTAAGGGATCCTTTAAATTGGCTTATGACCCAGATGTGTTTCCATCCAACACCTGAATTCAAGCCAGCAGTTCCTCCTGGCTACTATCTAAAATTCCATCTGTTTGCAATAGTCTAACACAACCCTTGCCTTGCTTTTTACACTTTTAAGTTAGTTTCATAATCCATCATTTTAACGTCTCAATTTATTTCTGTATTCTAGAAATCTCTGTCACAAACACACATCCATGGGATTCACCACAGGATTAATTTGTTGATGGCAGAAGACAAAGCACTGACACAAACCCTCTCAGTGCTAGCTCTATATTCCTTGCAGCATCTGTAGCTTGACAAGAAACCATCATCTAAATCATTATTATTTCAGCTCAGTCAGTTCCTAGGAAATTAAAATCATAACAGCCCTAGTCATAGAACACATAGAATATGATCTGTATTGCTTCTTCTGGTTCTTGCCTACCCATGCTACTGTCAGGGCTTATTGGCATCACTGTTAAAAAAGGCAGAAAACAAAGTTAACTTCAGGTTCCATTATAAACATATAAGAATTACTCAGGGGTGTGGGAAGGAATATTTCCTCTGATTTCCAGAAGAGTCAGATGGAGCCCATATTAAGTAGAGACAAATGTGATCTCTTCATGGAAGTTTTTAAAGGGGGTATTGCAAACTGTACAGAAATAAAAATGATTGAAAGTGGCTTTTAAAATATCATGCAAGTTTTTTACCAGTGCAGTGCATTAACAGCTTGACTAAAGTGCTGTAAAAATTTACTGTATACTTGCAAGCATTATTTAACTGCCACAAAAATAGTCCATACTTGTTTTTAGGATGAAAGGCTCTCCTAGTTCTTTGTTTCTTGGGACAGAAATCCCCAGAGCAGACAGTGAACTTGTATCATAAATGGATGACAAAAGCACATCTGACTGCAAAGGCAAAAAGTATTCTGCCAAAAAAACAGTGACTGACAAAATGTATTCCCATAAAGAAAAAGCTCTTTGGGTTAAAGCTACTCCAGGCGTGCACAAAACCACATTAGTAGCATCTGTCAACCTTATGAAATACATTTTTAGCCTAGCTCCCTAAACAAACATGACATACACTATTGTAATGCCTGTCTTTTAATAATCTTTGAAAGCTTTGGCCAGTTCCAAAAAAAATTTGCAGGGTTATTACAAGATATCAAGGATATAACATAGCTACATTTAAAAAAAAAAAGTTTTAAAAAAAGAGAAGCCCAAATTAGTGCTCCTACTGAAGAAATCACTTAATTTGGGATTGGCATTTCTTCAAAGACAACAGTCACATAGCGTCACACAAGTATGGTGAACGGATTTCTGGAAACCCATGGTTTAGGTGGTACCCAACCAACATGGAAATCATGTGCCTGAATGGTCTAGGGAGCCAAGGCAGAAGAAAACCTGAGCTAGAAGGGACTTTTGGGGAAAAACAAACAAACAAAACAAAAAAAACCAACAGGAAATGCAGCAATAGAAAAGGCTGCTTTCCAAAACTGTGAGGTTCTGACAAACCTTAGAAGCTGATGGAGTCTGTGAATATCAAGAAAATGGCTGAGAATTACCAATCCTGTTAGAGGGGGAAACAGATGAGCAGTACGTCTCAAAAAGGGGAAGAATAAAGAGTAGAGAACAGCCACATTGATGGGGAAAGTATTTAGTCAAGGAGGCAGCAAAAGAACTTGAGTGTGAAGAAGATGCAAGCCATGTATATGCCAGCATGAGGACACCATTGTACACAGGCTGACCCACGAGTCCAATTAGGAGTAAAATATGTCACTTGATTGTCCTGTACATCTCAGAATCAGAGAGATGGTGACACATTACCTTTCTGACGTAAGAAACAGCATCTTCCTCAGTGTACACTTCTGCACTGACCCCCCCTCTCCTGCGTCGGGCTTTTACTACTGGGTTGGGAGGAGGAGGGGAAATCTCATCGTCATGAGAATCAGACTGGGAACTGGATTTCTGCCGAGCCAGTATTTGTTTGCATTCTTCCTGTAAGGCAAAAAGAGACAATGAAACATCTCTTACTCGTGTAGCTAACTTGCTGGATAAACTCGATTCACTCTCCATTTACAACTATCAGCAATCCCTTCACTTCTACATCTGGATGACTGTCGGTTTACACATTTGTGCTGCTGAAAGAAAATAAAAAGTTTAATGTGAGCAGCATGAAGGACTGATGTTAACTACCATGTGTGTACAGGTATCATCACTCCAGTACTTGACCTGTTCAACTCTTTCTTAAACATAATGGAAATCAACATATTATAAACTGCAGACATATCGTTGCAGCTACTCCTGGCTGAGAAAGCAAAAGAACAAGCCTCTTTTGCTTACTCTCCAACATCACAGCTGTTATTTTCTCAGTTGGCTTGTACATATCTTTGTCTCTTGTACAGAGAACATATCAGAAGTCACACATCAATATATTAGATAGGTTTCTTCATCCTGCTCTGCTTTGCAGGCTTACTATCACCAGAAAGAACAAAGATGCTCCCTACTCCAGAATTTCTGCCATATAGCAGATTTACAATGAACGGGACTATTTCCAAGCAAATAAGATCCAAGGTAGGCTCCAGAGGACTATGAAAAATGATGGCTGGCCTAGCACCAGCTGGCCAATAGGGAGGTTATGGTCCAAATTTCATGCTCATGGAATGGAGAATAAAATACAAAGGGGAATCGCTGAAGAGATAGTAACAAGAGCAGGAAACAGTATAAGAAACCTTCAAGAAAGGATGTCAGAGTTGCAAGACTCTGTCAATTCATACACCGAATTATTTGACTTCTAAAGGATTGAGACAAAGAAGATTACCCATAATTGTAATATTTTCCCAGAGCCTCATCTCCTGTTCTTCAGCTTCCTGGGATTCAAGGGAAAGAACACAGGAGTAAAATGCCCTCTGCATCACCCATCAAAGGAACAGGGGCCTGTCTGCTCGTTCCCAGCCCACCTTCTCATCCCCTGGTACCACCTCAGCCTGGCATCCTGCTCACAACACACAACGCTGCCTTTGCTCCCTCTTCAGTGCTTTCTTAGCTGGTTCCTCCTAGTCTGTGCTGACCCTGCCTAGGGCAGGGAAGAACTGGAGTTGGGATGGACCCCATGTCCTGTCCTCAGCTTTTCTGATACAGGAAACCAAAGGGCACATGCACGAGAGACTTGAGGACTGTAAGGAGGCAAGTCATCTTGTGCAGAGGTAGTCCAGTAATTTTATTTGCTGTCATCTATTATATTGCTGTAGGTATAACCCACACCCTGACAGTCTCAGGGTTATGTTGATCAACGTACATGTAGCCATCTATCATCCAACAATTCCCCAAACAACTCCAGCATTTTTGAGACAATTCAGATTATCAGCATCGCAGGCTACACAAAAGAAAACGCGGTAACGCCGAGGTTCCTGCACACCCCATAAAACCAACGTTCCTTTGACAGGGATGCCAGAACCTGGCCTCTGCCTTACACAGTTACTTTCCAATGAGACTTTCCAGTCAGAGCTAATACAGGGAGCTGGTGGAGGAGGGAGAATCTGGGAGCGCTAGCGCTAGACGCGTGGCAACTTACCAACATAGCCAGTTGGTCTCATTGACAGAGGAAATGAGTTATCGTTAACTCATCAGGTATGACACCAGAAAAGAGTGGTACAGAAAACTGGCACAAGTTCACAATTATTAAGCTTGCAAGAAAAACAGATGATTAATATATGTTTTGCCATTGATGTTTACAAATGTCTGACAAATCCAGTCATGCCACTTGTCTTTTCTGGTCTTACTCCAGTTTCTTTCCTCACCATCACTGACACTGCCCCTCTCATTAACCTAAGGAGCCTTTGACACCAATCTTTGATGTATTATTGCTACTTGAAATAAATAACTAAATAGTATTTCCCACAATGCATATTTCAAAGTAACAAGTTACACATTCTTGTTTTGATTAAGAGACTACTGAAATATTTAAGAGACAAGCACAGAGATAAAATGTAGAGGGCTGGATAAAGATCTGCCTTTTCAAGGTCCTGACCTGCCTCAGAAAGTGCCAAGTTCTTTCTGCGATCAGTATTTACTTTAAATTGGGATTACACCACCACAGCTCCTGGGCCATAACACAGTTGAGCTAGGTGCTGTAACCAAAAAACAGAAGAAAAAATTATTTCAGATGTATTAAATCCTTACTGAAACTTTTTCATTTCCAATTCAAATTTCAAATAGCAGCACTGGATATGTAAAAGATGACTCAGTTAGATTTTCCTATCATGTAAGAACTGCAAGTCCTATTTAAGCATTCTCATCAACTTCTTCCCTACTCCTGACTGTCTCTAGCTTCCTTAACTACAATTATATACTTGTAGAAACACAAATATTTAAAATACAAATACGTGTGCTACATATTATCATTATATTTAATATCTAGTCATCAAGATCAAACCTATGACTGTAGAATTTCAAATAATATTACTGGCTATTGTAGCTGATGTATCTCTTTGATAGTGCTAACATTCTCTGTTTACATTAAATGAACATGACCAAATGCATAAGCTTAACTGAAAGGTAATTAAGACCTTCCTGGGTAGTAAGCAGCTTAAAGTATACTCAAAGGTAACCACAACAAGGAGGCAGGCAGGTAACTATTTAATGGTATGCAGCACTTACACAGTTCTTTTTATGCATAGTATATTTACTCATAGAGAAGAGTAGTAGTTTGCCCCATTTGAATATCAAATACACACTCCTTTTTCAGTAAACACTGTATAAAAGGCACTTCCAAGGAATTAACAAATAATATCTCCTCTGCACCAGCACAGATTTATACATGAAAGAAAGCTCAGTGAGATAAATTTAATATCACAAAGCATGCTCTTAAACCCAAATATCTTTTAAAGCCAAAAAGAAATTAAAGGATTATAAAAATGAGTTACCATATGATTCATTTTAAAAGGAAGTCTCTTCGCTACAAACTCCTTTTATATAAACAGCAGATAGTTGACTGGCTGGCTTTTCCATATGCCGCTATTTGTAGTCTAGGTAGGATTTCCATTACTGAACTAAAGAGTGTCTTTTGAAAATAAAAGCGTACACTCTGTCCTGGGTTAAGCTTTCAAAAAGCCGTCTTCCATATATCCTGGGGTAAAACTGCACAAATACAGCAAATATTTTAAAGGAGGAATGGACTCTCTGAAGAAGAGTTCTTCAAACACTGACTTCAGACACAGCTTGATGTGAACGCTTGTGCAGGACTCACTTTCAAGTAAACACCTCACCATCTTTTGTTGTCATGACAACAAGCGATCTCACTCTCTATTCAGATGGCACAGATAATTCACAATCATATTGCCCAATTATGTCCACCTTAAAAGGAGAAAACACGTGGAAGACACCACTGCAAAACAGTGTAATTGCTTTTGAGCAAGCCCCAGTGAACATCTTGTTCTTCCCTTCACACCAGTATCTGCACTGGCTCCAGTGGAGATGCTCCTGACATGTAGGGTCTGATCCAGTTATCCATAGCCCAGTGCCATTTTGGGTGACCTTGCTCAGCTTTCAGCTGCCAGCTGAGGAGGAAACAAGTCTCATGTTGTCCCGTGTCACATCTACCAGCCTCAGTGGGCATCACACATAATTTAGGGAGACTTAAATGGCAGTAGGGGATCACATGTGCCACTGCTGAAGCCTCCAGAGTCACTGCCAATATATTGACCCACCTCAAATCTACAAACTAACATTGCTGTGTGTCAATAACACCCTATTCCATATACACGTGATCTAATCCTACTTCTATTCAAACCACATCACAAGTGACCAAACACTAAGCTAAAATTGTGAACAAAAGCCTTTCCTGGGATTTCTGGGGGAGATGGATGATGAAACTGGAATACCATTACTGACTCCAGTGATAATAAACTGGAAATGAAAGAAAATATACCATCATTGCCTCCAATTAAAAGAAAGAAGAACCAATAAATACAACTGAAGTGACCGATTTATTTTTGAACGTCCAGCTTCAGCTAAGACATTTGTGCTACAAAAGGCTGAGGTATGGAACACAGGAATTCAGCACGCTGTCCTCAGCGTACGGGGTCATTGCCTTTCCCGATTGATGTTTCCACAAGTTTTTTATGAGTTTAAACACCACAAGTGAAGTGGCAACAATGCTGAGACAGTTTTTAGGTTTACCCTTCCTTTCAGACCGCTGCTGAAGAGCACACACACTTCCTGACCCAGAAGCTTTCTTCTCTATCAGCCAGAGCATTTCCAAACAGAAATTCACTTCCACTAGTTCCTCTCCCAGTCTCTCCTTTCAGGCTTTTTCACCTCCTGGAAACTCAGATGTTTCAGTTGAAAGGACAGCACCTAAGGAGGCTCCAAATCACTGTACAGCTTTACAACACCATCCCAAGGAGACTTTTAGAAGCAAGTCAGCCGTCCGGTATCGCTGCTCACTATCTCTGCTCTGCCTCCTGCAATTTATTCACTGCATTCAAAAGCAACAACACAAAACACACTCTAAATGATTTTTTTTTCCTCTGACTGACAGACCTAGAATCCGCTTCCTATTTATCCACAGAAAATGTGCAGGATAATTCACGTGCATGTAACTAATCTCTCTTTGCACTGGAACTGACCCAGAGGAGATGCTCTCAATACAGGAAGGTTTCTAACACTGCCCCATCACTCCTGGAGGCTGACATGATGATTTATAGCAACTAATAAAGGCCAAAGGCAAAGCACTCGGCTTTGTTGGAAGCACAGGACTGACTGATGCCACCATTGAAAGCATGAGAGATCTGGGAGGTCTTAATGTCCTTTCCAGTCTTCTCTTTGCCACAATGGACAACTCTACTATCTTTATGATCATTCAGCCTTGAAATCGGAGACTTTTCACACAACCCCAACTATTGTTCCCTTGCCTTCCTGATGTGAAATGCCACCTTTTCTTCTACAGCATCACTAAGAAATATCTTTAACAACCACCCCTCCTGCTAACATATTTA